TGTGTATATCATTTGAATTTCTTCAATTTCAAACGAATGAGCGCTGATTTTCGTATAATTTTTGTAATATTTCAAATATTGTTAGGCAACACTGTTGTCTTCTAATCGGATTAAAATCTGGCCGAATTTTGGCCGATATCGAAAAAAAGTTTGGCCGATATCGAAAAAAAGTTTGGCCGAATTTGGCCGTGAGATGGCGTGTGTTTGGCCGTGAAGCCTGTCGACTATCTGGCAACCCTGGTCTAGACTTATGACATTTCATGCGTGACTGGTATCTGATGTCTACTAAGGGCCAGTTCTCGCTGTTGCTCTTCTCTCTGCTGAGCCAGCTTAACAATGTGCATGCTTGGGCCTAGCCCTAGGCTAAACTAAGCCTAGGACTAGCTAAATCAGTCAGGAAGGTGGACAGAGTTTTTCCATTGTTAATATCTTCACTTTTGTACAAGTGATTGTAATTAGATATGAGCATTCGTGCAGTGTGGGTCGTACCGTTACCCGGAATCACATCATCAGATAAAGTTGTTTTCTCAAGGTAATACCGTGGGCCTAGCTAGGCTACAATCTAGCTAGGCCTTGGCCTAGTAAGGCCGGACTGTTTAAGCAGCCTGTCATTTTGGGAGACAGACGATTGGGCCCATTTCCAGCGGATCGGGCCCAACTAGTGTTGACGATCGGGATCACAGCACAGAGGTGTTATTTAGCATATACAGTAATAATAATAATAATAATAATAATAATAGTAATAATAAGATTTATAAACGCACAAATCCACTGCAATAGTGCTCAACAAGGCGCTACAGGAAGAAACCAAAAATTACCATGAACCTAAAGCTACAAGAAAAGAAACACCACACCATCACCGCACGACCGTTTACAGGCAATTTAAGGCACAGGGGCCCGCCTATTGATTACTCACAGGTGCTCAAGTAATGGGAGTATCTAACTAAAACAATTAAGCAAGCAAGCAAAGCGAACCAGGGAACTAGGAAAAAGCAGCCGACAGCAGATGCGTCTTGAGAGCTTTTTTGAACAAAGCAGTAGACTGACACAAGCGAATATTTATTGGCAGTTTATTCCAGTGGCGTGAAGCTGCAACGGCAAACGATCGATCACCCCATGAATGTGTAGACCTAGGTTCAACAAGCAGAAGTTTGTCAGTACCAGAGCGGAGAGTTTGTGATGGCACGTACCACACAAGCAGTTCACGAATGTACCCAGGACCTTCATCATTCAGAGTCTTAAATGTAATGAGCAAGATCTTGAAAGAAACAGGTAGCCAATGAAGTTCTTGTAAAATCGGAGTGATGTGCTCAAATTTCTTTGTTCCTGTAATGATCCTAGCAGATGTATTCTGCAACAGTTGAAGGCAATGCATGGATCTCTTAGAAATACCAAAAAAGAGAGAATTCCCAAAGTCAAGATATGAAGTAACAAATCATTGCATGAATCAGTTGTGCTGAGAGGTAAATCCAGTCCTTCTTATATTGCGCAAGTGAAATGTTGAGGAGCTAGTAATTTTGGAAATATGCCTGCTCAAAGTCATTGAAGAATCAAGTGTAATACCCAAATTCTCAACTGGAGGTACCTGATCGATCTGACATTCACCAATGTTGAAGTGGAGGTCTTGGCATTTCTTCCTTTGTTGAGGTGAACCGAAGATGATGAATTCAGTCTTGTCCTCATTTAATTTTAGAAAGTTTTCGGACATCCAGGTCTTCAACTCCAAAATACAATTTTTAAGAGATTTTACATTTACATCAACTTCCTCGGAAGGTTTGAAGGAAATATAGATCTGTGTATCATCAGCATAAATATGGTAAGACAAGTTGAACTTGGATACAATTTCACAAATTGGTAGCATGTAAATTGTGAACCACTGAGGTCCCAAAATTGACCCTTGAGGAACGGAATAGTCAAGACAGAAAAAGTCAGACATGGAGTTCCCAACACAAACTCTTTGTGGACGACGAGAGAGGTAGGAGGAGTACCAGCTTAGAGCGTCTCCTTCTAGACCTATATAATGCTTGAGGCGATCCAATAGTAAAGTGTGATCAACCGTATCCAATGCAGCACTAAGATCCAATAAAATGAGTGCAGTAAGTCGTCCTTTATCCATCTCTTGGAGAATATCATTAGAGACACGAAGCAGTGCAGTCTCAACACTGTGGTGTGGCCGGTATGCGGACTGAAAAGGATCAAGTAAGTTGTATGCATTAATATGATGAGCAAGGCGTCTGGAAACAAGGCGTTCAATCGTCTTTCCAAGGAACTTCAAGTTTGATACTGGTCTGTAATTTTTGAACTCTTCATGATCTAAGCAAGGCTTCTTAATTAGAGGTCTGATATGACAAATCTTCAGAGTATCGGGAAAATTCCCCTCTTCCAGACTTCTATTGACAATTAAAGTGATAGATGGTAAAACAACATGAAGACACACCTCTTTTACAGAGTAGTAGGGATGGGATATACATATGAAGCAAGGATGCAATTCAAAAAGTCCTATCTATCAACTGAAGGTTGGTAACAAAATGATATTTGCCCTAAGTTATTTGGGACTGACTTTCCAACTTTGGGGAGTTTCCCTTCCGTTTAGTTTTATGGTACATGTGCAAGAACATCCCTTACTTTAGAAATAGCGTTTGCCATGAAGACTGCTCCCATCGTTCCAGGTTGAATTCAAACTTTTCATATCCCTCTTTGTATTCACCTATGTTGCCGATAAGCACTGTCATCGTGTTCTCAATATGTTCTTAAACTCCGATGAAACTCTTCATAAATATTTAAGAGTAGACAATCCCATCCTCGTCGCCAAATTGCAGTATTTCGGAGTCCAACATGAACACGCTTTAAACAGCAAAGGCTTCCATATTGAAACACTTTATTTCCAAGTGTCTGAACAGCAGAAAGCTCACTTTAATTAGTCTTAATTATATGGGTTCCATATGTGCTTGATCCAATGACCAGTGGTAATATTATTATGTGCATAGGTCTCTATAAAATGCGTCGTATAAGTCGACCAATATTATTATTATGTTTTCTCCAGGTTCATCTACTTTCACTGGCTCCACCGATAGGTCCAGAGGCACTGTGTGGGTTCTTGACTGAACATCAACATGAACATTGTCTCTTTCATGGGCGGCTGAGAATTATTTTATTTAAAATGAAAATAATTTTGGCCTAATTTACAGTTTCACTGTGCAAAAGTGCTGCTGCTTAGTTTATCTGTGACCCTTACTAATGCGTTTTTTTATTCTTAGAACGTTTAGTACCGTTGAACGCAGAGCAGTGATTTTTAATACCGAAGAACATGTACCAATTCCGGATGACAAGGAGTTCTACAGGGCACTGGTAGATCAGCTTGGTTTACGTCATCCACAACAACAGGTCCTAATATTAATTCTTATTTCCATTTCATTAAATTTCTCCTCACTTTGAGAAAAAAATACATATTTTTTAACAAGGTAAAGTAGCACAAGAAAGGTACATTTAATGGAAATGTTAAATTAAGTAATTAGAAATATTTTGGGGGCCAGAATATAGGATTCAGTGTTTTTACATTTACAGAACTAGACACTGAGAGGGACTGAACAGACAAATTGCACTAGTGCTTGTGCACCTGTTTAGTTGACTCAATAGAGAGACAGATTAGGTCCATATTGGAGACCAGAGGTCTCTCTGAGAAGAAGGTTGAGAGAGCAGTGGGTGGAGAGTTTGGAGGCCTGCATCACATGTCACTGCTTACAGTTACCCTAGATTGTCTCGTTGGCTACCATGAGCCAACATTACTATAATATTGACATTCTTCAAATTGAAAATTTACTCGAGTCCATACAATTGTCATATCAACCATGAATAATATATATAAGATGATGCCAACAGTCTGTAAATTCATTTTAGGTGAGGTTTTATTTCCCAATATTAAGACACTGGAAAATATTTCCTGTATTGTCATTATATATTTTTTACTAGTAACTTTTTACATGTAACTTTCACCTGATCATATTTTTTATCTATTGTTTTAATTTTATTGTGTTTAGTTGTCTTTATTACTACTATTTTCATTTTGTTGAATTTTTATTGATTGCTAATTCATTAATCCAACAGTTTGTAGAATCCAGGGATAGTTGTAGCAAGGAATTCCAGAAGCCAGTGTTTGAATTGAAAACCAAAGATGGTGCCCTGTGGCCTGTTGTTATCTTTGAACAGGTTTGTATCTATTCTTCTATCTATTAAACTATTTTCATGTTATTCAAAATATTTTGTGTAAAAAGAAATATTTAATTTATATATACTTTTTACATTTATTTTTTCTATGACAAAATATTATTTAATTTTTATTAAAGATGTACTATCTGCAAAAAAGAAAAAAAAAATCTAGAGCTGTCAATCCATTGAGTATATATCTCCGCCCTGTACCTGAACCTTTTACAAGGTGTTACTTTGAAAACCTTTTTTGGAGAAGGAATTAAATCATCATGACACTATTTCATTTCATTTCACTTTTATTGCCAAATTCCAAAAGTATATACAAAAAGAGTTAATCAAGTACACATGGCAATAGGAGGTTAAAATAAAAGATTTCTCTTGTCAAGTTTATCCCCCTTTACATGGGGAATGTCCAATCAAATTTTATATTCTGGACAGGGCTGAAGATTGCATTAACCATATTAATCATTGAGCTAACTTTTATATGTTTATTATTTAAAGTTACTTTTGTTTTTTTCTCTTCATCAGAACAGCTTGCTGTTTTGTTGCCTACCATTAGTAGAGCAGGGATGTAAGGCACGTCCACCACTGATTGACATGTAAGTTGTAGGATCAACACTAAGTTAAAAAAAGTATATGCATAACAACTTCCGAGATGCATATGTATTCTGTAGAAATAGTTTATACCTGTGATGCTTCATCCTTGTAATGAATGGGTTATTGAGAATGTCAATGTACAGTATTTGTTATTCTTATAATTGGGCTAAAATATATATTAAATATTATCATTTGCCTACAAAAGCCAGAATAAATATTTTCTTTTTGCAGTCCAAGTTTATCACAAGGGTTTTCTTTACTCGTCAACATGGCAGATTATCTTGGACCTGTACCAAGGGATGTAGATACAGTAAGTGTTTTATAATAATGTATTTTTTTCTTGGTATTTTATTTATTAATGTTACTGTACTATGAATTTAACAGTGGATTACATATTTCAATTGGGTTTAGCTCGGTTTCCATACAATCGCTACACGCTATCGCGCTAGCATTTTTGGTGATGCTGATTGGTCGGTCGAATTGGGAAGCCTTTATGATTGCACTGAAAACACTGCATGACAGTGTAGCGATTGTATGGAAACCATTCTTAACTCCCACTAACTTTACAAAATACGTAATTTATAAAAGCCATATTTGGTTATTTTTTACATATCCCTGGCCAAACCATGTACTTGCTCAATTTAAAAAAAACAAACAAAAAAAGACAAAGCTAGTCCACTATAATAGCCTGCGTTACTTTTTTCTCAGTAAATTAACCAGATCTTGTGGTAATTATAATCAAGTGAGTTTTTTCTGAGCAGAACAGCTGAGCAACAGTATTGTGCATAATCAAATATTTAATTGCTAAATTTGTGCACCAAAAGCTTTAAATTTTGGCATAGAAAATATTTTTTAGTCACAGTCTCATACTGCATATTTAAATCCAAGTGTCAAAAGTGGTAAACAACGGCATGATTTAGCAGAGGTAAAGTGACCCTTTGTCTAGTTTAAAATTAATCCTATGCAAACATGCCTTTATATTGTATAAATTGTTTATTATCAGACCAAGTTATTCCACCATGATCAGATTCACAATAGTATAATTATTCATTGTCTATTGAATCTGATAGACAGATATATTGATATATAGCATATGGAATATGCCTAGCTGACTAAATGCATAAGAATAATATTACCATAATTTAAAAATTCCTGATTTAATATCCAAAATATTTGTAATATTTAACTGATTATTAGTTTATTGATTTTATTTTCTAGTAATGATTTTGGATTGTATTGTTTTAATTTATTTATATAGATTCATTAGTAAATTGTTTTTATAGCACATATATTAATAACATATATTGTTTTAGTTTTCACCACAGATCCAGGATTTGTTTGTATACATTACACAGGCTGCTCCATTTGGCACACCCATAAACACAAACCCAGCAACAGTTAGAGCAGTACTCCTCAGTAAGCAGACACCCCAAGTTCCAAGTCAAGGCTTTGTAAGTGCTGGTTAACTTTAATTGCATGAGGGAACCATACAGGATATTACAGCATATTACATTTTCTTGGTATTCTTCGTACTGAGATTGGACTTCAGAAATGCCATATTCATTAGCCCATTATTAACTTGGTGAAAAGTGTATTCAAAAAATGTTGATGCTAAATTTTGTATTCAAGATTAAACTGTACATTCCTGTTATACACTAGGTTTGCTAATGAATTATGCATCATAGTACACTTCCACATACTTTCCATTGCTTTTACAAGTGTGACAAGTGAAATTTGTTCTTTAAAACAAAATTTTTCAACTTGACAACCAAATGTAATATTCCTAATTCAAAGGTCAAACATCGGTATCTGTTTTATTTTCTTCATAGATTTTCTGCACCTTGCATCCCTAAGTAATCCCTATACTTTTAATATGAACAATGTTTGCCCTACCTGACATGTTATCATACTGAATGCTCAGTACGATCCCAAATATGTGTGAAAAAAATGTCACAAATGACTCTTAATCCAAAACACTTGTTACTTTGGGTAGGGCAAACATCGTTTGTATTATTATTTCTCCCGACGAAAAAGCACCATCAGAATCCTATATTTTTATTATTATTTAGCAACCAGCATGGAAACCAATCCTGTCAAAGGTGAAACCGCAGTTGCAGTTTGTCATATCAGAACAAATACGTGCCGTGCAATATGACTCAAGTAGTACAAAGGATGTATGGGATGTCTATGGCACCGTCAGTTGCAAGGTCAGATAATATACACAAATTTAGTTATTAGTCTAGTTCTGTTTTGATGTTATAGTTTGTGGTATCATAGAAATGCTACTACAGTAGTATTGGAAAATTGATTGATTGATAACTTGTGTCATGATTTATATGGTATTAGAAAGGTTACTGGAGGCAGTGTGAGGGTAAACTTGACAGACTGTTCGATTGGCTCTATTTCAAAGTGTTTGAATTTTGGTGACATGTTTATATCTTTTTGTTGATGTTGCAAAGTATGGAGAAGAGACAAATTTTTTACCATGTTTCTACTAACTTTGTCAAGCTGCTTCCCAAGAGTGTAAGAACATCTTTTCAATAGGAGTTAAGGTGGACCAATTTTTGTATTGGTAGTTTTGAAATTTCTGACAGGCACCTTCTCTTGCTAATGTTATCTTGCTTTTTTTGACAGGCAGAACTCGATGGTATGATTCCTGATGTGAGCATGGCATTGTCAGTGCCTGCTGATGCAACACCACTGGATCATCTCATTGTTAGTCCATGCGTTCAACAGGCAGATGCACAGATTATTGAAGGTAAGTAGAAATGGTACTGTCCAAGGGGTGGCTAGATCATGCAGCTCATCTTAAACATTACAATTAGTTATATAAGAGAAACCGGGCTCCGATATAAGAACACAGAATGATGTATATAAAGTATGTATGTATATATTTATGTATATCTATAAATGACATGGAAGCCTGTAGCACACCCTAGCACAATTCAGCCAATAATGACATTTTTTCAAACTACTGATATTTGCTCTCACAAGACTACTGTAACATAAACCGGGAAGAACTGGCTGGTCGCACTTGAAATTATCTTAAATATAATTGTCAGAGCTTCAACCAAGTGCAGCTTCATTTGGGAATTTTTTTACCAATTGGATTCAACATATTTTACTCTCTTTAAATACGTACTGAACAGCGCTACTTTCAGACGGACTCTGTATGACATAGATCAATATCATGCACCAAAACCTTTAAGCATTTTTAATGACAAGACAGAACCTTATTACAGATAATTTGTAATAAAACATGATTTTCTGTCACTGCATTAGTAATCTTTATTTTCAAGTCTTAAAAAAAAAGTTTAAATTTCATTCATATTTTTTTTTTACAGGTGCAAAAATTAGTGGTAGGAGAGGAAGCACTGCTCCTGTTATGAGGAAGATACGGTTCACCCCTCCCCCAGAGATGTTTACTCTATGTCATTATACATCATCATCCATCCCTGAGCTCCCAATACAAGCCTCCTACCAGATGAAAGGGGATCAGCATTCTGTTAATATCCTTGTACAACTGAAACTCAACAGTGCAGTCAAGAATAACTTTGAATATTGTGAGGTTCAGTTTCCATTTTTTAACAGGTAGGCCTTTTGATCAACTAGAGCGAACGCTTTAGGAGGATATATCTTATGAATATACACATTTTTCTGGTATTTGTTTTAGTCCAAATATGATGTCAATCAAAATTAAATATTAAGGAACTTGCATAATGCAAAGAAACATGTATAAAATTCAAAACTCTAAATGTGGGATGATTTAATGTTGGTTCAGTTATAAATAAATGAAATGATCCCTATATTACAATTCTGATAAGATATGAAACAAAAAAGTGATTCAATATTTTTAACTTTATTTGTTCATCTTGAATGAAGATGGACAAATGAAGTTCAAAATATGGAATCACAGTGGCTTAATTGTATCACTATTTTGGAATTTGTTTATCTTATGTCAAATTTATCAGTGAACCCCATTGTTTATCAGTGAACCCCTCTGTTCAGTGGTTCAAAAAGCTATAGAATACTACTAAAATCACTGAGGGAGTGTTCCATAATATTACAGCTTGCTTTTCAATCTACCAGGTACCCACTACACTATTGAATGCAGAGATACAATAGCAAAAATGTTTTGCCTGAGGACACAAAAAATGGTCAGCTTCAGGCTTCAATACCTGGGACTTTAGGAGGCAATATGCTAATCACTTTCATGCTGCAGTAGGCTGATTATGGCGTAAAATGATGATAATAATGATGATGAAAAGGGCATGTTGACATATTGTATTATTTGATGTTGATATAATGAATGGTGGTACTTTTTTTGTTGTTGATAGGGGTATAATCCAAAATATTGATGCACAGCAAAATGTAGGAAGTATCATAATAAGCGGCGATAAACGGCGGATTGGTTGGAACATTGGACAGAAGTTCCCATCACGTTCATTAGAAGTGTCACTGCAGGCTACAATCAAATTTGGTGACATTGATGACAGTCAAGCAACCAATATGTATGATGACCCATTCTGTGTGGGCTTGAATTCATATGCGCAGGTATGCAAAATCTTTATTACAATCATACTAGCGTAGCAGTCCCTGACGCAATCAGGAAGGCTCCCTGATTTGACCGATCAATCAGCATCCAGTCTGGTTTCCTTAAAATCGTTTTCAGTGCAATCGTTAAACTGTGTAACAGTTTCCGACACAATTGGGATAAGGCTTCCGGATTTGACCAACCAAACAGCATCACCGAAAGCTGTCAGCAATAGTGTGTAGCGATTACATGGAAACCAAGCTTTACTTTGGACATTGAATCAATCAATCTCTGTCAGCGGTTTTCAATTCTAGCTGATAAGATTTATTTATTTATTTATTATGTTTTTATTTGTTTATTGTGCTAATATTTATTCATAATAGAATCAGCGAGTAAGTAATCAGTGTAAGTAATAAATGTAAGTCATCTTCTATTTTATAGTGACTTCCATATATATATCATCTCATTTACATATTTTATGCCCACAACATGAAATAACCTGCTGAAAGTTAAAAACAAGTACAGAAACAGACCCACACATCTGTCAGATCATTTTACAAACCTGCCGAATGCTGTCATAATTATATGGACATAGTAGAAAAAATATAGAAATAAGTAAAAAATAATTATAACAATTTGAATATGTATGACTAGCAGGACAGTGTTCAAAGTTCAATTTATTTTCCATACAACATAAACAAAATGATACATATAAATGTAAATATAAGTGAACATAAATATAAAGCTATTATTCTGAAAGTTCTGAAAGTGAACTACAGAACTTTAAGATATAGCTACCTTTACAGAGTTGAAAAAAAACCCATTTAAAAAAAAATTATTTATTCATTCTGAAGTAATTATAAGTAAAATACATTCAAGAATAAAACCACAGAAAAGTACAAAAAAGCAACTTATTTCCACTGTGGTCCCTAAATGAGAATAATTAACCATTTAGACCATATATGGTGAACAAATTACAAAATGCTATTTCAGTTAATTACTGAAACAAAAATAAAAGCAAACAACATTAGCAAGTTTTTATACATTATAATTCTTAAGTTTTGAATAGTTATGAATATGAATGATTTACATAATATGAATGCGGTGTACTTTAACATAGACTACATTGCATAGTGCAATTATAGAAATAATTAATTTGCATAGTATAATTGCACTATTCAGTATTATGTAATATTATTCAAATTTTATTATGCAAATAATTGGGCTAAATATTCATTGTTAACAATAATTGTTATTTTTTACATTTTTTTCAGATATTTTTCAAGATACTTGATTACACGCACAGTCGCTGTGACATTGATCAGCGGTCAGTTCAAGTTCACCCTTCAACAAAGGTCAAATTAAGAACAGGTGAGGTGATGTTATAACCTGCCTAGCTGCTGATAATTATAAAACAGTTCACTCTACAATCTGAGACCACCTTTGGGACCTGAAAATTAGGATGGTTTTGGGGTTCGGTCTCCAATTGATTGATGATTTTTTGTTTGGTTCTTTGGAAAGTGGTCTTAAATTAGAGGGGGCTCGGAATTAGAGGGGTCTGAAATTGGAGGGTGCACTGTAGTTATATATTTATTTATATATTTATTTTATGAAATACACCTTCAACAATGGGAAACCCACCACTTGAAAATTTAATGTAGGTTTGGATAAAGTATAAAATTTGGATAAAGTATACAATAAGGATTTAGTTAATTAGCAACAAAGTGTATTTACCACAAAAGTGCTGTTTGTAGTTTCAATAAATTCTTTAATTCTGTACTATCAACAGGTTCTCCCACCATTTTGCTCAATTTTAGGCTTCAATGTTTCCTAATGTAACTATTTTCTTTTTCAGTAAGGGAGTTTGTCTCATCAGATTACAAGGTTTGGAATTGCCATGGTGACGCCCAGTCAGCATTCTCTCCATCTCAGTTGCCATAGCAATGCAGTAAGCATGCAAAATAGTGCTGGATGTTTGTATTCCACATAGTCTGTCAACGCCCTGTCCAAATGTTTACTTGATCAAATATAACATAAAAGGAAGAAAAACAAAGAAAGCGTCATTCATTTTCCATTTATATAACTGTGGGTAGGCACGAACAAACCCAACAGAAAAACATGTTTGTCAAATGGTGGAGTATTCATTATTTGAATCTTAGAGAAAGATAATTAGTACTGTTAGTTCATTTTTCTGTATGGAATTTACCTAGAAAATTTTGGAATCGTCTGATTCTGTTTGCCCATATGAAGCATTCCATCCCAATATCAGCGTATTGTCGCTAAATGTTAAACCGAGTAATTAGCATTAGAATGTGGTAGTATCCTATACTTTAGTACAGGGAGGCATAATACTTTTACTCATAACTTTGTCAATAGTAAGTCGATTCCAGTAAATGACAATAAGAATATATTCAAAAGTCAATTTTCATTTTTTTGGTTATTAGTGCTTGTTTTGTGATGGCAAGCCTCGTATAACAAATAGCCATTAAGTCTCATTTTTCCATTTGCTTACACGACGTTGTGCCAATAGCAGATAGCTACCACCAGTGAATGTGTTATGAATATGTTTATCAAAATCTGTGCTTGCCAGAAAGCAAGATCAAGATTTTTTGCATACAGTGTATTTTTTTTCACTGAAAAAATACCTGAAAATGATATATTTAATTTTATATATATACTTTCAAATATCTTTATGTGTATTGAGTTTTAATAAACTAAAGACAACTTTTAGATAAAGTTATGAAGTGATCAATTTTGACTCAATTGTAGGTAACCAGTACTGTCTGATAAAATTTGTTAATAAAGATATAATCAGGATCCTATTAATACCTGTGGCGTGTATATGCATCTTGAAATCGGGGTTTGGGGGTGCAGAAGAGGGTGCAAAGGTAAAGTGGATAAGCTTGATGATTAGGTGAGTGGGCTAGCTTGCGAAATAAGTTTATTTGAGGTGATTTTAACTACTTGACTGATTTTTTGGAGGGCAACTGGGGGGAGGGGGCATGAGTATATTTTGGGGGAGTGATCACATAATTTTATAATAATATCTAATGATACACATTAAAACAAAAAAAACAATTTAGTTTTACTTCATAACAGATGTTTTTCTTTCCTTTAACTCAACACTTAAAGTCAGGTTCTGGAGGAATAACAATCTTTTTTTTAATATTTAATATTGGAAAAATGGTGGTTACGCCCCTTTTCCCCAGTTTTTAAATATTCAAAAATCTGTATGTCGTTAACCGTTCCTGAGTTTTTAAAAATATTCTTTTTGTGTCTTTAAAAAAAAAAATCAGTTTTATAATATATCAATATAATATATCAAAACATTTTTTTTTCTTCTGGACCCCTCCACGACCCATGCGCAACTGATCGTTTTTAATGATAAACCATTAGACTACCACCTCCCACAATCAGCATTGTCTACCGCTGACAGGGAGGGGAGTTGTTTATTCGTTGTACGACCGTCGTACGACATAGCGAATGCCTGACTTTATCCAACATTTAGAGGATGGATGTGAGACTGTATTAACTGAGGCTCGGATTCCATACAATTGCTACACAATTACTACAGCGTTTTCACTGCAATCCTTGCACTGCGTAGCTGTTCACGATGCAATCGGAAATTCTCCGATTCAACTGACCAATCAGCGTTGCCAAAGGAGTCGGTGAAAGCGTAGCGTTTTTATGGAAACCGTGCTTAAGTTTCCTTTGGTAACTGAGCTCATATTAGGTGTGACAACAAAAACACTAATGTTATTTACAGGATTTAAACTCAGTATTCTGGTATTTAAAAGACGACGACAAAACAACCAAACTGGTGATGAATAGAATAATAATGTTGAGCATAAGGTGGTGGCAATTGATTGAAAATTAGGTGGAGCTCATGTTAGTGTCGGATATATATTTGTGTCTTGAATATGACTTGATGATTTTGAATTTAATGATGATAAATTCAATGCATTTGATACAGTTGAATTTCATTCAAAACTTAAAATTGCTGCTGATGAATAATCTTAAATTTGAAAACTTTTCCAAGGTAAAATTATTCGACGGTATGCATCAGCCTCGTGCAGTATAAAAACTACAGCAATTTGTAACTTGCAAACATGCAGCCTTACAATAACGATAATGAATGCGTCATTATCATTATCGTCATTGGTGCCTAAAAATTGCTTAAAAACCAAAAGTATCTTGTACAAGCTGAATATGATGTTTGATTCATGCAAAAGGCATAAATTGACTACGTTGTGACAGATATCCTGCTGTATGGGAAAGGTTGTCTAAAAATTTGATGACGTACGTATTCGTTATCGTTTTCGTACGCATGCGAAAACTCCCTATAACAATTAGTACACCAATATCAACAATAAAATGGAACTGCACCTTATCTAAAGGGCTATTTAGGAACTGAAAATATAGATAATGGAAAGTGGTAAAGAGAAAAAAAGATGTACGGTATTGAATTGGCAACAATTGCGCTGAGAGAGAAATTAATACAAGCCTTTTAATTCCTGTTCTAGAAATAATATTTCCCTAGTTGTTAATTACCTCATAAATCTCTGAGATTTCATAATTATTCGTTCTATTAAACATCGTAGGCGGCCTCGGCTAACATTTACATTTTTTAATCAATAATTATAATACATTTATTATATCATAGCCAAATTGATTTTCCTCTCATGGTTTGGCAATCAAATTCTTATTAAACGTTCAGTAGACCTATTAGTGTTTCAAATCTAAATGGAATTAAATTGATGTCAGACCACAATCAACATTCTATTTCAATTAAATTAAAAGCAATGTTTATTGTTCACACGTTTATTACATATTTACATATAACATAACATATTTTGAACATACAGTACTGTAATAAAAAAAAAAAAGAACTATACATTAGAGTAAACAGTGAAATTCAATGGCTAATTTAATCAATTCTGCATTCTAATATTATCTGTAAAATAGACTGGGGACCTCCCCTCCCCCTCGCTGGCGCAACCATTCACCAGTAGGTGTGCCAACAGTATCCAAGCCAAGCCACCTCAAGGAGTCACCGTAATATTTGTTAGGGAAAATGAAACGATAAATTGTTCTTATGGGCCCAACGATAAAAAGGTCTGATTGAAGCTAGTAGCAATCATTACAGTAAGTTTACTCACCAGCAACACCCATTAGGCCTATTTGATAAAAATGTTATCACATAGGCCTTGGCCTATTTTTTTTTATTTTTTTTTTTAACTACTTAAAATTCTTGCTGTTGACAATAACAATCGATTGGAACCAACCTGAAATGAAGACGGAACTCAAAGCCACTTTGTACGGGTTACTCTTTTTAGTAGACGTTTAATTAGGATTCGGACGTCGTTAGATTCATCAGTGTAAATTACGAATGCCTGAGCCTCACTCATTCTTTAAACTTAAGACACTTCTCAAACACAAGTTGCTAATTTAATTACAGAAGAAATTTGTAGAGAATATAATTTAAATTTGTTAGATTTATTTCCCAGATGACAAAAATGACCTATAATAAAAGCAAATTCACCGTTGATTGACAACATTTAACATATCTATCTCATATTTAACAATTTGCATCACAATGTTTCCAGTTTTTAAATTTAAATCCGTGACATTTTCGGAGGAGTCCATCCATTGGAGGAAGCCCCATGGTTGCGCATCTGGCTGTTTTAATACTGTACTATATTTTAGCGGGGTATCTTGACATTGACGTACTTTATGCCTATAGGCATGCTATAATATTATAAATCTCAAATATCACAAATGTTAAATTTAAATAAGGAAATAGTAAAGGCGTGATTCGCAGTAACTATCGTTCAATAACCTAAATGTACCCAATATGAATTTGTTCTTTTACAACAGGCACACAAACATCGGTCTTCATTGACCGAACATCAAAAATATAACAAATCGCCATATTTGCGGCAACTTATTATTTGTTTTGTGTAAATTTACCCACTTGGAGGCATCCGCATTTCCCCCACTGCAATGCCGAGTCTGTATCAGTATCAGATGTTTGAGAAATACTGCTGATACATTAAAGCATTATTAATTATCGTCCTGAATTAGTATCTTGATCTTCAAACCTTCAAACCGCTTGCACTGCCGCCTAATATTATTGTCACTGTATTATATAGGCCCTACTTTGTCTACACTAAGACTGGAAAAGATTTTTTGTTTTTGTTTGTTTGGTTTTTTGTTTTTTGTTTTTTTGTAACAATCTGTTGGCCTATCAGAAATCTACAGATGATCTTGGCTATATTGCGGCAATGCATTTTAGTCCTCGGGATTTGTAGGTTGTCTTTTTAATGATTCCTTAATTGTGAAACCCAACAGAGCATCAAATTCAAAGGAAATAAATATTTACTTCTGTTAAGACAAAGAAAAATAAACTTCAAAGTCCACTTTGCTTTTAGAGGTTTTTGCGATCGCCCTTAATTTGTATTTATTTATTTAGCCAAATACTACATGCCATGCCAATACTGAGCGAATATATCATTCCTACTTGTAGGTGACAATCCAGTAAACAAGACCATGACAAGACTAACACATACCCACGATGCTTACACAAACCATTCCATGCACAAAACAAACTAAGTCTCAGTATAGGCCCTATTAGGGAGAGGAGTTTCAACACTGGCTAGGAATTAAACCCAGGACCATGGAATGTTAACCACCACGCTATTCAACTCCAGGACCTACTCCATTAGAATTAGGCGATTTGAGGACCAGTCTACAGCCGTGGTATACATTTAAAGGTTTACAATTGTAGATGGAACCACAAACACCCAAAATCGTCACTGGTCCCGAGTTGGTCTCGAATTCGAGGGTACTGTAACCTATTTTCAACGTAAAACATTTTTTGCTAAAGACACATTAATAAATTCTGTCTATTTTGCATAGACCCATAAACTGACTGGCCGTGATTTATTTAACGTCTGTCAATCAGTGAAAACATAATTATTTTTGTATGTGTCTCATTAAAATTTTAAAACTTAGTTTATCACGAAAATCACTCCCAACGACATATCTACTGTGACACTCCACGCGATGCATGAATATTACATTTCCATTTGGAGTAGCGCGCCACCACTCTACAGGATTATTCTATTATTTTGCATCTATCTATAAAAATATATTGTTTACACATTGCAACGCCAAGAATATAGTGAATTTGTCAAACTGCACATGTTTAATATAACAGAGAATACACTGCGGCTGCAAAGAAGGTATTAGCAAATTAATATTTTTACTGTATAGGTCAATTAAGTTGATACAATTTGACAGAAGATTATAGAAATAATCGAATCGGCCGGGAACTTCAAACTCCAAGAAACTGTGAGGAAGCGACGATTAAAAAGAGGGGTTTGGAAAACGAAGTTCGTGCGTGTAGGATGTGTTTCTGAGCTCTTGTGAACGATACTGCCTTATTTGTAATCGGAATTTTATATTCTTATTATCGCATGATCAAGATCTGAAAGGTATGATTTATTGATTTGCTGGTTACAGGTTTTAGTTCTTCAATTCATCATGTGGTTTGTGTATGGATTTTTTCAGTGGTAGGCATTTTTTTAGGCCAGCTAGCTGGTGTGCCCAGGATAGCGTAAAATAAACATTGTAACCACATACTCAGCATGTAGGCATGCAGGGCTTAGCATAGAGCTATACCAGTTGTCCGTAGTTGGTGGATAACTTAAAAATCAGATTGTTTCGAAGTCTACTCCCTAGATTATCCGAATAATTTAGATACTAATAAACATAGAGGAATACGTAAATAAGCGTGAAGCTAAAGAATCAGTTTTTTTTGCCAAGTTTTGAATTATGTTTTAAGAACATTTTGTATTCTCACAGAAAACTTCGAGCGCGAACTTTTTAGAAAGATAGAAAAGTGGATTGCCATTTTATGTAGATTTTCAGATTTATTAGCACTAAAACAAAACAACAACAAAAAGGACAAATTATAATTTAAAAAAATATTAGAATTACAGCTTCAGCAACTAACAAACAAAGAATTGTAATGTCTGAAAAATAGAAAAAAAAAAATTAAAGGAAAAAAGAGGTTTGTGTGATGAGAAATAATTTTTAACATGGTGTAAAATGAAATTCAGTTAAATTAAAAAGCTAAGAAAACTACTTAATACATTTCCTAATGAAACTTTGTAATAGTGGCAATTCATCATGTGTTAGTATTTATTTTATAGGCATGCAGAAACTGTATTGAAGCCCATGAGAAATAAATTACTCTGCCACTAGTGTACCCAGTGGAACCCTATACACTTATTGTATCATCATCCTTTAATATTATTTTAATATTTGGCCGTCGGGCAATACAATAAATTGTGATAATGGTCTCTTTAGCGGTATACTGTATTGGAAATATTAATAACAGGTTGACATAAGGTTAATTCTCCGTAGAACTGCTTGGTATTGAATTTCTTATCCTGGGTACTTTATTAAATGTATTTACCAAAGATAATTGGCTTTACTTATAAATGATTCCATGGAAAAGTGACTTAGCTTTTGGGGCTATACTGACACATTTTTTTAGTCTAAGTAAGTTAAAGTTAAACAGCATAAGTAAACTTTCTGTATTAATCTAATAAACCTTATGTAATAAAATTAAACACTTAAAATGTCTTAAAATATGTATTCAATAAAAAATTGGAATAATAAATATTTTCTTAACCAAATAACAAATTTATTTAGTTCCTTTTTTGGCAGTTGACCTTTAAATATGCTTATAATTTAAATATTTTATTGCGATTTTATAGTTTGGTAAATTATGATCCTTTTAGATAAGCACTTCCATTTAGTTTGGTTACCAAAAACATTCTTTTTGTATCTTACATACAAAGCACTGGCAGTAACTTGGTAGGGCTGATGAATTCCTATGAGCCGACGGCCAGCCATGTAAATTTAGTTTTATAGAGCTACACCATTTTTTTTCTCACTATCTACATACCAAACTCTAAAAGTTCAGTTGCCAAGCATATAGAAAAATTTTTACTTGATGCAGTATACAAATCCAACTATTATTCATTATTATTATTTATTCTACATTTACCAATCAATGGAGCCTTAAAACTGTTAAATACTTTGCGATGACATGCCTAAAAAAAAACAGACTGTCTTTTAGTGCTTTAGTATAAATTTGTTTTTGTTTAGGCTACAGTATATATAAATTATTAATCAATAGTGCTTCCAACATTTTCTGACAGAAAAATGAAATATTTCTAATATTAGAAATACCTATGCATTCCAAGATACAGTCCTGATGTCAAATTGAATTTTAAACAAACTGACATTGAAAACACATTCTGCAATGATTTATTATTTGGTTTGTGGGAATAGCGCTTATTATCGGAAGTTTGATCCACTAAACATACAGTAATTTAACTCTTAAACCCTGTCCAGACTATACAATTTTATTAGACAAAAACATGTGACATGCCTAAATATGGTCATGATGACATCACATCATGACTCTATATAGGCACATCATGACCATATATAGGCATATCATGACTATATATAGACACATCATGACTATATAGGCACATCATGACTATATATGGGCACATCATGACTATATATGGGCACATCATGACTATATATAGGCACATCATGACTATATATGGGCATACAGCATTTTTGTGTCATGGAAAAATTTGATAGTGTGTACAGAGCTTTAAGATTCACATGGCCACTTCAGTAATTATTTTTTGGTACCTACATGTAAGGTGTCTGCTTAATAGATTCTACTGTATTTTTATTTTATTTTTCATTCAGCAGTGGTGAAAATATTCTGCTGTGTTGTGTTAATAAGTTTCAATAATGACAAATTTGTAGTTTTATGTCAATTACAAATTAAGTACTACGTGCAGTGTGATTGACTGCTGCGGACTGCCATCAAATTGGATTAGAGAAAAGTAAAAAATATAAACTTTGCTTCGACGTCATCATCATCTTTTTCAAGAAGGCTGGGATGGTAATCTGGTTTTTATAATAGGGCCTAACAAATATAATTATATATTGATTATATATATATATATATATATATATATATCATGTAATCTCCAATTAACACAAATTTTTATGATATATAATCTACCAAAATCCTAAGATACATGCATACTGGCATTAGGGGGTCCCAAGTTAGAAGAAAATGACTTTCGTATCTGGTTAAAAATAAGTTTTTTTTTTATACAGTACATGTATCCAATTTTATTTTGGTGCGCATGGTGATATCCATCGGCACTGACTTCCACGAGACAATTTATTAGAGAGTAGTAAAAACGTGCAGATATTATGAATTTGCGGAAGGCCTTCCTGATTTTTCGGGACTTGGGATCCCTGTATTTGAATCATAAGCCATGGCCATTGTTTCATGATTATTCATTAGGAGATACAATATTTAAGGCTGATGAACTGAGATGATTTATTGCTACTGTATTGCTATACTGCTATAAAGTAGCATAAGTTTGTTAACCCTTGCAAGCAAGTCATTATGCATCTAGGTTATGATAATATACAGTTCCAGTCTGCAGTCATTTTATGCTCATGGCATTAATAAAGATAATGAAGGATAAAATGTTCATAATTAGCTGAAAATGATGATCAAACAGATTTTATATACTGTATTTAAAATAAGTTATCTATAATGAAATAATATATATTTTGAAATCTAATTATTAATGAGAGTCAAATTATTTTTGTATGAAACAAATTATAATACAGTATTTATATAAAACAAATGTTTGTAAAACATAAAAGTTATTGTAAACAATAATATGTTAAACCAATGTTTAAATTTGCAAAAAAATATTATATTTTAAACATTAAGAAATCATAATTAAAAAAATGATTTATTCATTTTACAATGTTTCTCTTTTTTGTTTAAAATATATTCTTTAAGAAACAACAAACAAGGATATACTTTATAATTATAAAATAAATGTTTGTATAATATTACATTAATGTTTATAAAGATATTGTAAACATTAATATGTTAAACCAATGTTTAAATTTGTAGAAAATATTGTACTGTAAACATTAAGAAATCTTAATTTAAAAAATGAATTATTCATTTACAATGATTCTCTTTTTTGTTTAAAATATATTCTTAAATTAAGAACAAATGTTTGTATTACATTAATATTTATAAAAGTATTCGTAAACATTAATATGTTAAACCAATGTTTAATATTAAAAAAATGTTATACTGTCAACATTAAGAAATCATAATTTAAAAAATGATTTATTCATGTACAATATTTCTCTTTTTTGTTCAAAATATATTTTGAAATTAAGAAACAACATTAACTGGGATATACTGATAGGCATTTTAAAAAACCTTTTAAATCCACTGTAAATCAGTAAAGGATCCAGGTTGGGAGAGGGGGATCATTAGGTTCAGACAAACCAAAAAAAAAAAAAAAAAATTGTTTTGTACAAACCAAAAAAAAAAAAAAAAAAAAAAATCCAAATTAATTAGAATTTAGAACCCTCTGCCTTAAATCCTGGATCTGCCCCTGTAAATTGGGTTTTGATTAGAAATCCAGGGTAATTATGCAAGTAATAATAATAATATTCAAAATAGAATGTACTGTAGATTTTAAAGTTTTCAGTGACTAAACAGATTAGTTCAATGTGTACAGGTACTTACTGTATTCTAGAGTAACTGACAAATTATGCATGAAAACCTAAGAATACTTGATCTTGACATTCAGTTAACTACTGTAAATAGTAGAATTTCGAACCCTCTTCTTTCAATCCTGGATCTGCCCCTGAAAATTGGGTTTTGATTTAAAACCAGGTTATTAAACTATGCAAGTAATAGTATTCAAAATAGAACGTAGATATTTAAAGTTTTCTATGTCATGACTAGAAATTACAGAACAGTAGTTCAATTTGTACTTATTCTAATGTAACTGACAATTATTATGCATGAAACATAAAAAATACTTGACACAGAGTAAGAAAATAGTATGAGATTTCTACAGGAGCTAATTGTAAGTCTACCTACATTACTATAGATGTCAATGAACAGTGTTAGTAATCATGTTCTACATTTAGTAGTAACTGCCTCCATTTTACATTGTCTACTGTATTCATGACTATTGCACTTGACAAATCATTCTAAAAATACTGTATTTATCTCCATCTAAATATAGCCAATGTGTAGTTCACAGCACTGCTACTATACAGTACATAGGCTTTATTGAATCAATCATTGAAGTTAGCATCTTTGGATAAATTATGAAACACTGCATTTACACATGCATGACAATATAAAACAAGATTCTCAAGTACGATTCTAATTTTAATACAGTATATTATTTTTTTTATTAATACCTTCAGCTGCATTTTAAGTTAAAATTATGGGTCCATGACAATGACATTAATTATGTTGCTGGTGTCAATAAACCAAATGATGTAGCAGTTAATAAAATTTTAATTGATTTACCAATAATAAACAAAC